TTTTTTTAACTGCCCTCATTTTTACGAGTAGGCGATTATTTCCACTGCTTTCTTTTATCTTTTTATAAATCATCAGAAACATCTAATCGATTCTTTAATTTGATGCGGAATAACGACAGATTCTTCTTTAGTGTTTCTACTATGAGTAACTTGCTTCTCATCATCCTCAGCAATGTCTTTCTTTCCATAGCTGAATCCAGGCGAACTTCGCATTTGACAACCCTGTGGTCGCTCCCTGCATTAAACCTGGTCAGCACAGCACAAGTGGTGTAATCGTTCCTCAAGTTACTGAGCATGAAATCGATTGTATCACTGACGTCATTTTGGCATTCTCACGCACATAATAAAGAAATTGTTCTTCTAAACAAATGGGCTCACAATGCGTTCGCCTCCTTTAGCGATCTGACCTTTGCACTGAAATCATCACTGATGAACTTGGATGACTCTTTTAACGCTCTTAAACCTTTCGTTCTTCACAGAAATTCTTGTTCAATCTCTTTAGAAGGATGATTTGATGCCGCGGCATAGAGTTGAATCAGCTGGAGTTTGTATCTCTTTCGAACTCTCAGAACCAGTCTGTGGCAGGGTCGATTTCGCTCGACATAAGACTGTCACTGGGTACTGTGACATTTACTCTGGAGATCTGACTTGTACAGCTAGAACCAGACCATCAACTAATGGTATCACCACTGCATGTCCGCGACTGCTTATTTGTCGGAGCTAACCTACATCTCCGAAAGTCGTATGCCCTATCAGCAACTCGGGGATGCGCCAGATGACCAGCAGCTAGGCAAAAATACCATAACAGCTATTAATTTGTTCTTAACGTTTCGGCCACACAAAAATGTTCTTCGTCAAGACAAAAAAGATCACTAGGACAGGGTAGTAAGCTCGATGAAAATAGGTACCGCAAACGGCAGCCGCTACAAAAGTGTGAAGGAAACCAGCATCCCAATTGGTCACAAGCATTACTGCCCTGCGTTTCCCAAAATATATTGTATTGTACTACGATACTGTAGCTTAGAATAGGCGATTACAATTACTACACCATGCATAACACACTGTATCGAGTAAAGTACCTGGACTGCCGAACAGCGGAACGCTCTTGTCGACCGTCTTCGTGGGTCTCAGTTTAATGCCGCCGCCTCCAGCTTTCCGGATTTCAGCCAGTAACGCGGAACGGTCCTTTAGAGTAGCGCATCCTTGACTAGCGACTGCGCTTGGGGAAGAAAGGGCGTTGCTCAAAGCAGGTGCTGGGGGCGGGGGCGGTGGAAGAGGCATGGACTTCTTAATCACTTAAAACAGATCGACCGTTAGGAAGAGCAAAGTAAATTCAACGAGTATGTAAATGCAATTTGTGAGGTTCAACGTCGCATTACAACGGACGGATAAGTCATCACTCAGCAAATAGAAAATGTACCTGACCAACTCATAAAAAAATCATGAGGGGGAGACTACCTGCACTGGACATTTCGCCTTTTTGTTTGTGATGATAGAACTCTCTTCGTACTAAGGCTAAGATATTACTTATATTTTGTATTACATGCAGGTATAAAGCGAGCTTTAAATATAGCTGATTTATTCGCTTCAGAATAGCGCCAGTAATAAATTCTAATTCTAATTCTAATCACATGGGTGAAGGCAGGTTGCAGTCTACAATTCGATTCAAATCTTAAAACTACGAGACGCGAACTATGCGTCAAACAAAGAATGACAAACGGCTTATCATCGCGAGGATCCAAACTTCCGGTTGCATGGGTCCCTTTGTCGTCCTTCTTTGCATGATGCTGATGGTGAGGGGCTGCTCTCCGTATTTATGCCATCAACCAGGAGAGCCTTATTGTTTTTTAACGCAGAGTCTACAGCCATGTGGTAAATGTCAAGTGCATTGTAGAGACCTGTCGGTTCTGAATTCGACGTTTTACGACTGAGCAACCCCGGTGTGAAATAATTTGTGGCAAATTCTTTGTTCAATAGAAATCGTGAATAAGCCAAAGACTGCCCTCGACTGTAATCGAACCCAGCACCTCTGGGTCTTAAAGCTTATGTCTTAGACAAGTGTGCCAAAACGGCGGCAATGTTCAACGGTTGCAGACAGACAACTGTGACTACGTCAATGGAAAAGACACTCGTCTCACTAACGTCATATGTAGCTTAAAAGTGGAAAATATGTACCTCACAGCATGAACTGCATCCAAACAACACTTGATGCTGTCCTCAAACTCGCGTGACGATGCACGGTACCAACAAGGCTGATCCTAAACAAAAAAACAGACTGCAAATTTCTGCGCCAGAGTCGCTGCTTGAGACTCTATAAAAGAAAGCAGCGATTAATCAGAACCTTCGGAATCAAAGCAAGGCCAAGTCGCGCATTTTTCCACCCCGAAACAACGGGAAACCGAATACGACGAAAATTAAGTAACAAACAGGTAACTTTCACCCACAGAGCGAACGAAGATCATAAAATTTACAAAATCTTTCAAGAGGAATAAGGGGCGGCCGGATCAAGCGACGAACCGCATTCTCAGCATACAGTGAAGTTGAGAATATCAAAGAGTTGCTATATTATAGATGATGAAAACATACAACCATATACAACCAATGTTCAGTGGGCAGTCTAGTGGCGTTTCTCACAGCTTAGATCCCTGACTATCACCAATGAAAATTATTTTGATGACTTTAATGATCACAGTGCAACAAAGATAACGGGAATAGTTATGATGGTGAAAATAGTGATGCCAAAGTGATAACTTCGATGAACAGCCTTAATGACCTTTTAAACAATGGATGACTTTACATTCTTAACATGTAACATAATTGCTGATTGTTCGAAATGGACATAGAGTACCTCGAATGAGAAAGCAAAAATGTTAAACTCGATCAATAAAAATAACGACTCTGTTGCTACAAATATTAATAGTAGTAATAACGCGGTGTAAAAACGTAAGAATTTCTAGCCATCTTTCTGGTCGTAACAACTCCTTGAATGGAATCACTCCAAAATGTCATCACTTTTATGGAGATGAAAGCGCTTCTATGTTGTTACAGTGATAAGCAACAGCTTTCATTAGCATAATCAATGCGGATCACACCAATATACCACCATAATCACTGCGGAACATAAAGCTTAGAAAAATGCCACTGCAAGAAAAGGCTACAGTGAATCACAGGTACCCACAGCCGTTTAACCTTTATCACCATCACCCTCAATCATTACCATCGTGTTCGCCGTTAACAGTATCATTTTTGTCGCTTGTTCAGCGGACACTGTAATTCTGCTCCCATCTAGCGGCCTTGTGCTACTCTTAAGTCATGTATGACGTTCAGTTTGTCCATTTGCGATGAAATCTGTTCAATATCGTTTTAATTTTTCTATCAATCACAGTTATCCTTTTTTAAGGTTCATCATTACAACCTCGCAAATTCCATGCCTAAGCATAGTCGCCTTTGAAGTACGGTGAATGAGAATAGAAAAACTACGTGTACTTTGAAAACATGCTTTTGAGTACTTCTTCCGCGACAACGCCTCATGCTTTAAAGGGAGGACAGGGTAAAATGAGGCCAAGAAATTAACAACCGTGGCAAAAGTTCTAGTATCTAAGTTCAAACGACCCAGATTATTTCCGCTGCGCGGTTAGTCTTCGTGAAGATCTTCGCGAGGGATGACGATTAGCCTTCACAAACGACTACTCGTCCCGACACAAAAATGACTAAGTCGATGAAACTTGTACGTGTTGCAAGTGATTACGAACAAAACTTTGGTCTACATTCCGACAAGAGATCATCTGACACATAACTACGCGCCAAGGCCATCCAATCGAGTTCAAACGCTGTCCTTTGTAAGAGGAAATAGGTCAGGTAACGTGATATTATGATACCTTGTCGTGTTTTCTATGTTAATTAACATATATGGAGTATTTCATCTGCATCCGAAGTAAAAGCATCGTTCATTTAGACAAATATGCCTTATATGGGCGAAGAAATATATCATTCATAGCGACCACTATTCAATTAGATGGCTTACGTATATGATGCAACCAAAAAATAACAGGTCCTAAACATCTGACCTGTCATCCACAAAAATAAAATGCCATTCAGCGTAATTTCAGCATGGACAAGTTTCTTCTTCAGCTTCTATGACGGTAGCAGATAATTCACATCATCTGCCAGATGCGTAGGATCTGAAAATCTGGTAAATTTATGTTGAGTAGCGATGCATGCGGATTCCGTTTGTACATGTGGCCTTCTTTATTCTGGGGAAGTCGGAGGATTGTATGATTACTGGTTTAACTCCTCGCGGACTACATAATTCATAACAATCACTAGAAAA